AATCATGTTGTTATTATTGTGATTTCTGTGATATATCTATTCCTACTAGTTGTAGATCTATTATTACTACTACTTCTGTTAGGGATTGTTGATTCTTTTGGTTCCTTTGGCATTAAACCTTCAACTGATTTCCTTCGCGGTGTTGGCTGGCCCCATGTTCGCTTTTAAACTAATTGACTTGTCTGTTCCCTTATAGAAAGACAAAAAGTTTTTTAATTTTGAGTGGCTGAATCTACTTCATGCTATTTTGTTAGGTTTGTCCAATTCGATTATGATCTCTCTTGTTTCTTCCAGTTTGGATGGGCTTCATCACTGTTGGCTTGTTTGACAGGGTTTTGACCTTGATGTCTATCCTGGTTGTTCTATGCTGGCTGATGTGGTGCCATTAGACAAGTCCCATACCAAGTATGGTGAGATAATGATGGAACTGACTAACCTTGCTATCCAGCAATACAATGAGAAAGAGTGCAATGTATGTATTTGTCCCCTATGCACCTTTGCTTTGTGGGATTAGTCTCCACCTCCACTATCCTTCCTTTATTTTCTTCCTGGCATGTTTTCTTTTTCAACTGATAGTGGCTCTGCTTGCAGGTTTTTAAGTACAAGCTCTTGAGTATTGAGAAGGTGAACTATCGGTTGACGGGATTCGAAGAATATTTTTTGACTGTTAAAGTCTTAAATCTCACTCTTGGTTCTTCTATCGAAACTTTTCAAATACATGCTGGCAGACTGATTGCTGTGGGTACCAAAAAGGTCTTTAGTTGCCTGCCAAAGGAGAGGTAAACACCTATTGACATTTAGAATTTGCCTTTTTTTAATTGTGTGTTTCTGTGTGTGCTAGCGTGGGTGAAATAAATCCTTTTGAAATGAATTACATATTTTTTTGTTTTCAAAGAGCTGACGAAGGGAATGGGAGAAACCTCCCCCTCCCTCCCTCCCTCCCTCCCTGCAGAAAAAGGAAAAAAAAAAGGATCATATGGGCTTATAAGGAATGATTTTGTGATAAATTATGGAAGCTGGAAATGGTAATCATAGGCATTTGTTATCTGTGGAAAATGCACTTGTACTTGATAGCTAACTTAACTTTGTATTTTTGCCTCCGGACTAATTAACAGGGGTTTGCTTGATGGAGAGGGGAATGTCGCCGAAGGGAAAGAGGGATGGACCTTGGACCCTAGAAGTTATTTGATAACCCTTGGATTCTAGTTACCTTTTACTTTAATGTGTAATCTGATCTGATAATATTGTGCACCTGCACCTGGACCATGGTGTTCTAAATTTAGTAGAAGCACTTCAGTCTTTGCAACTTCGAGCTCTTTAAACTTTGAGAAGTGACCTGACTTTGTTGGATTATGAGCGCTTTAACTATGAGAAGTGTCTTTGCCTCTTTGTTATTTGAAGCATCTCATAATTTTTAGCTATCTGCTGCAGTCTTGGACGATCTGTATTCCAATATATGTGTTACAAACTTATCTTAGGGTTATAAAAACGAAGACATCTTGGTATTTTGAAGGCCTGTACTGCTCATTTACTGTCTTGGTATTTTCGCCAGGATCATATCCAATGATATGCCCATTTAACAGTCTTTTCATCTTCTCTATTGATTTCTTTCTCTTCAATAGCTTCTTTTAAGCGACTTGATTTTTCAAAAAACAAAAAAGAATGATAAAATTTTATAGTTCCTTTACCACTTCAACCCCGCTCATACTCGCATCCCTATTCTCTGTAGATCCCTTTCTTCGATCAACACCAAAAGCATCTACATTGTTTAGTGAAGAATCTGAGGAGGATCTGGCACTGGAGCTAATCCACTCCTATACACAAGTCTTAGCAAACGATGGTCTTCGAAATTATTGCAAGTGTTGTATGTTTAGCATCGTGTAGCTCGAAATATTGATTTATTGTGAATTTCGCGTTAACAAATGTATACAAATGATTTCAATAAATATTTGTGTTAAAGTAACTTTATTGTGCACCGCTTAATGTCACGTCCTTAGTCGTTAACTAAGTACACGTATGACACTTGACAATTCACTCACGATCTTTCACAACTTGTTCACGTTCTTGCTTTGCCAAGTCAGCCTAAATTACTACATTCAAGAAACAGTAAAACATGTCTAGTGAGAATTTTTTAACTAACTGTAAATATCTCAAGTAAACTATTTAGTACCATATCAAGTAAATGACTTGTCCCACATGCAATTTCAAACATTTCGGTAACATTTTATTTTCAAAATATAGTATAAACCATACAGGTTATGAAAATACAAATTGCGGTATGGTTACTACTCACAGTACTCGTATCGAAATACCAAGGGCTAGTGTACTCGTATCGAAATACCAAACTCCTAAGGGCTGGTGTGTAAATATTAATTGTTATACAAATCTTTAATATTTACAAGATAATGGCTTTCTCTAGAATTTTCTACAAGCCTAGAAGATTCCAAGGATTTTCCGAGCAATTCTTCCATTAGAAATCTCTATATTTCTCTAGTTACTTCCCACATGTGCTTGTCTATTTCTTATGAAACTTTTCATATGGCAAAAATATATGCCAAGTGGCACCTACGTGACATGATGATGTGGCGGCCATGACACTCTCCCCCACCCAACTTTGTGTGCCGCCCTCGGTACAAAGCAACGACAAGTATGCGCGCACCTCGCTTTGGTGTCGTCGAAGATCTTTGTCCTTTAGCCATGATGCCTTATGAAGCAGTTCGCCTTCCCATGTCACAAGATACTGGTCATATTTCTTCTTGCCCCTTTTGTACTTTGGACGACTAGCGACGATGGCCTCGATCCTCCGCTCATTTGATGTCTCTTCTTGCTCTTGGCGTGAATTTCCCCATGACTCGATCAAGTCTAGCAGCTTTTCAAGCATCGGGTCCATGCTTCCACTACCTGTTTGGCTGCTCTCATTGGATTTAGTTGCTCAACTGTGGGGGCATTGGTATTATGAGTTGATTGACCTATGTTCTATGGATATGTGAAAACACTATCGGTATGCTGAATTTCGGGAGACGACGAACCCCTCCGCCCCCCAACCAAATGCATTACTATGGGCGTGTATGGAATAAGATTGAGTGGAAATTGTAATCTTAGGCATTTGTTATTTGTGGAAAATGCACTTCTACTTGATAGCTAACTTTATATTTTGTTTTTTTCCTCTGAACTAATTAACAGGGGTTGGTTGCAATTGCCAAGCAGGATGGATAGGGAAGTGTCACTGAGAGAAAGACCCTTGAACTCTAGTTATTTAATAGTTTAATCGTTTACTTTAATATGTAATATGGTCTGATAATATTATGCACCTGGATCCCATAGCTTTCTTAATTTAGTAGAAACATTTCAGTTTCTGTGACTATGAGAGCTTTAACTTTTAGAAGTGAGATGATTTCTTTGTTAAATTATGAGCCCTTTAACTTTGACAAGTGATCTGACTTCTTTGTTAATTGATGTATCTGATATATTTTTAGATTACATAACAAATGGCAATGTGGCCAACTAACAAAGGCAATAGGAATGCAGTATGTTCTTATTAAAAGGAGATTTTGAATTATGATAACTCTGATAAATTATTCCTCCTTTCGTTTCATTTTAGATGGTGTAATTTGACTTGACACAAAGTTTAAGTGAAAAAAAAAGAAGAAAAAACTTTTGATCATGTGGTCCTAAAAACTTACGGGCCAAAAGCTTTGTGGGGCCATGACAATTTTGTGGCGGTAAAGACTTATCATTAAGGGTAAAGTGATTAAAATAGAAAGTTTAAAGTTAGATTGTTTTCAAATATACAAAAGTGATATTCTTTTTGGAATATATTAATAAGGATAGTGTGTCAATTAAATTGAAGCAAAAGGAGGGGTTGTTATTAACCTAAATCAACATGATATGGTTTTTAAGAGCTAATAATCGAGATTTTCATGTAATTACTGTATAGGTAACTTCATAGTGTAATATTTTTTTTTTACAGTATTAGTATATAAAATATAAACTCTTTATGATTCAATTAAAGGTAGCAGAAGCCACCATCTTTCATTTCTTAATTTCCTATCATTTCTTTTTTGTTGTTGTTGTGAACTTAGGTTTCAATTCCTACATTGTATATCTAAAGTCAAAATTCTAATATTACTTCTTAGGAGTATTAAGTTAATTAAGAATCTAGCTTGCTTGAAAGTGCATAATTGTTGTAGACATATAAAATTTATTGTATTTAATCCATACAAAATTTGGATTATATCTTAAATTTATTTGGGTTTAAGAAATTAATTTGGACTCTACAAATTAAATAAGTCCATTTATTTACAAGCCCAAGGTCTATTTCATCTTAAGGCCCAGACTTATGCCACGTGTCAAGTGACATGGTATATCCAGTCAAACTCCAGGCCAATAAGGTGACGCCACGTGTTTAATGATGTGGCAATCCCAGTCCAAAATAATGACCAATCAAGAGTTGCTAAATGTCTAAAATGACATGTCTTGGCCAATCACAAGCAAGCTTATCACATAGCTTATGTGATAAGTTTGATGACTTGCATGAGCCAATCAGAATCAAGCAAGAGAGTTCATATGTAGCTGGACTGTCCATCCTCTATCACTATAAATAGAGGGGGTTACATAACTCTCTGGGGACATTCAGAATTGGAGAAGAACATTCCGCAATTGGTGAGGGCATCCGCAAACAGAGAGATCAATTATCAAGTGCGAAGTTCTTCTACAAAGGAGTGGTCAACGAAGTTCTTCCCGGAGATCAACCCAAAACAACAAAGTGTTGCTCGACGTTCTTGGTGATTAAATACATCACAAGGAGGTCTACATCGTTCTGCATTCGAGAAAGACGCTTCTCAAGCCCTCGAATCACGGTGAATTTCATAGAGGAGAATCAAGGGATACAAAGAATTGTACTCACAAATATTTATCAATAAAATCTCTTTTTCTTCATATTATTTTTTGTTGCGGTTTATTTTCTGTCTACAAAATTTTGTTGCGAACAAATTTTGGCACGCCTAGTGGGACTAATTCTGTCCTTCATCTCTTCCTCTTGCAAGTTAAAAACTGCAAATTTCATATCTACTGCTGCAATGGCCTTCCACAAGTGCGATGATATTTTGTGCATAAGATGCTACTGCTGCCGCATTCGCTGAGCTCAATCATGTTAGCCCAATCACTCGAAGCAAGTTCAAGGCTAGTGGCTTGGATGGATCCGAATACTTTGCCTCCTTGGAGATGGTAAAGAAGATCAGATATCATATGACGTCTGCAACCGCAATCTCTGGGGGAAACACCTTATTCTAGTTATTTGACAAGCTTTCTCAAACAACCTCAAACCTTAGTGGATTTGAGGATTTGGTGGATTCTCCAGTTTCAACGAAAGTTAACGCCTTGATAACTGAGCACAACTAACGTGGACGGAAAGTTTGCCATGATGGAACAGACTATAGAAGTCTTAAAGAAGTCTGTTGAAGACAAAGACCTTCAAATCGCTCAACTCATGAAAAAATTGGAGGCCTATACACCTGCAGAGTCGAGCCATGTCTCTCCTCATTCACATGTCTTCACCTTGCAGAAAACGATTGGAGGAATCGCTTGCTAAGTTCAACATTCAAAAGGAAAAGAAATCCACTTCAGTTGCGGCGTTATCTGTCCAACAATTGCAAGACATGATAACAAACACCATCATAGTTCAATATGGAGGAACATCACAAAGTTCGTTGTACTATTCTAAGCCTTATACTAAGCGGGTTGATTGTCTAACTATGTCAACCAATTATCAACCACCAAAGTTGCATCAATTTGATGGCAAAGGAAACCCAAGGCAACATATTGCCCACTTTGTCGAGACTTGTAGCAATGCTGGAACGCATGGTGATCTTTTGGTAAAATAATTTGTTCGTTCTCTGAAAGGGAACACATTTTACTGGTATATTGACTTGGAGCCCGAGTCCATTGATAGCTGGGAGAAACTTGAGAGGGAATTCCTCAATCGTTTTTACAGTACCCGAAGAATTGTAAGCATGATAGAGTTGACATGCACCTAGCAAAGGAAGGACGAGCCCGTGGTGGATTACATCAATCGTTGGAGGGCGTTAAGTTTGGACTGCAAGGATTGCCTTTTAATAATATTTGCTGTGGAGATGTGCATTCAGGGAATGCACTGGGGCCTTTTGTACATCCTACAAGGGATCAAACCGTGAACTTTTGAAGAACTTGCAACACTAGCTCACGACATGGAGTAGAATCTATAGTTGTGAAAGCAACTTCTGTGAAAGTCACGACTAAGAAAAAAGTGAAGGAGTATAAGACCCCGAGTCAATATCCCAAAGAGGAGAAACGTCATCCTACTTTGAAGGAATTGGAGGCGACGGTTTATCCGTTTCCAAATTCAGACGTACCCACGATCCTTGCTGAATTGCTTGCCAAGAAAGTCATTGATCTCCCTGAATAAAAAAGGCCTGAGGAAATTGGTAAAGTTGGCGATCCAAATACTGCAAGTTTCATCGCGTTAATA